TTTGTGGTAATTTCAGTTGATGGTATGCAGTTTAATATATCGCAAATTTCGTCCATTACTTTTAACCTCGTGAGCTTTAAATTTAATGTAAACGAAGACACCTGATATTATATTAGTAAAGTGATAGTGTTCCTTAGTAGGATTCACCCTCGAACAAAATGGCTGCCATATTAAATACATGTACTTAAATAATTATGAATTATGATGGTGTTTTTAAATGGCCATAAATAAAAAAAGGATATCAGAATCAACTCAAATTTCTACACAGCATGAGGTATGATGTTCGACTATTTTATAAGCTATAAGTTGTTTTCCCTGAAGTTTTGTTGGATCAGCATTGTTGCTAAATGTACGTTTCTGTCTTGATTGACAATGTCTAGTAATAAATGTGGAAAACTCTTCTATATTCAAATATGACTGTTAAAATAATTACTATTATTATTATACCAATTATTGCATCTCTGATCTGATGATTGAGTCCTTTATTGGCGGAACAACTCGCCAGTCTCTGATTGGTATAATAAACATTGACGAGGCATCTCGTCAACCTTGAAACTGTTTTTTTGGACCTAGAAATAGCCTTTTTAAATTCATGCTCTTTTATATACACACCGCTGCCTTTTACAAGCTCTACTTTCTATAAATCACAAATGTATAAGGTATATAATTTGATACATAAGTTTTACTCCTGGGCCAACTTCAAATGCCTCTTGCTCCATCTGCATATCAGTGGGATTCAGTTTACACTGTATCGAGCTGCTTGTTCCAGCAGTTAATTGTGTAGATGCTCTCTTATGAAGGTGTTCATTATTAGCATGATCGACAGCATGCATAATTGGAGCTGCAGGAGGCTGATTCAGATCTTGTGTAGGAAGCAGATCTGACACTGGTATAATAGAATCAGGAAGTAGAGGAGGGTCGAATTCATTGTCTTGTTCTTTGTTTAGTAAATCAACAATGCTTTGGTATGATATCTATCAATTTAAAAATGCATGCACAATCAAAGCTATGCATCTTTCATCATCGGTATCACTATCTACAGCCAAATCATTAAATACTATTTTTCTGATGCTTTTCAAGTGATGGTCAATGTGGTTTCTACACAAATCTGACACTATAAAAAATTTATTATGAGTGTATACTGTACGATGTACTATATACATGTACTTCCATGGGAATTCCTATGGGTCATTATGAGTTGTCTTCCCTGAGCTTCATCTGTAGCATGCAATATAATAAGCTGATTGCATATTGCATGCATGCATATTGCATGCATGCATCATGCATACTTTGTTTCTGGAGAATATCAATTTTTTCCATGTATACTTTCTCCTTGGCCTCTATTTTCTATGTAAATATAGAATATAATGTTCCTGTACCTGCTTTATTGTTGTTTGTGGTAATTTCAGTTGATGGTATGCAGTTTGATATATCGCAAATTTCGTCCATTACTTTTAACCTCTTGAGCTTTAAATTTAATGTAAACGAAGACACCTGATATTATATTAGTAAAGTGATAGTGTTCCTTAGTAGGATTCACCCTCGAACAAAATGGCTGCCATATTAAATACATGTACTTAAATAATCATGAATTATGATGGTGTTTTTAAATGGCCATAAATAAAAAAAGGATATCAGAATCAACTCAAATTTCTACACAGCATGAGGTATGATATTCGACTATTTTATAAGCTATAAGTTGTTTTCCCTGAAGTTTTGTTGGATCAGCATTGCTGCTAAATGTACGTTTCTGTCTTGATTGACAATGTCTAGTAATAAATGTGGAAAACTCTTCTATATTCAAATACCCAGCAGAATCCCAGTTTTGAATATGTAACGCGTCCTTCCTGAGAGCTTTGAGTAGTTTATTACGATACACTTCTATGAATAATGCATACAACTAACTGTTTCATTGGGGCGAGCCTGAGCTCGCCCCACTAAGGCGAGAAAACGTCTGTGTGTCTGTCTATCTGTCTGTACGGGCAGTAGGATCGTCTAACTATTATTAATGTTAAATACTCTAACTATGATTATGCTCACGTACATGCACACAAGCCAATATAGCCATGCTTGCAACAAAAATTAACCAGTATTCAGCAATTTTTCATGTGGCAGCATTTTTACAGCGAAGTCAGAGAAATGAATCAAGAAGAAGCTCGTAAGAGTCATCGTAGGGAGCTCTACAGCCAGAGAATGGCCGCAGAGACTCCTGAAGTGAGAGAAACCAGGCTGGCTATGA